CTTGGTAGGCTTGTCAGTGGCAAAGTCAGGGCTATTCGATGACACTGCACAGTCCTGTGTCTCCCCCTTCTTGTTTTGCCACTGACAAACAAGGGCACAGGGTGACCCTTCTTGGTTGCGAATAAGCAAGGAGACAGGTAGGGTTAGAAGTCATCTAGCAGTCCAGGCTCTCTGAAGTTGCTGTACGATGTGTTGCAAAGCCGTCTGTCGTGTCTCTGATAGTGTGACTTTAGTGCTGGGGTGTGAGCCGCGTAGTAGCGACGCCGGCGGTGCAATCTCAGCATTGGAAATAGCAGCACAGTTGTGCACCCACTGGATATCTCCGAGTAGAATCTGTACATTAGTTAGTGTGCGCAAGTTCGTTGCCAGCTCCGCCTTTTGTGTTTGGATCTCGGCGTCAGAAATACGCCATCCAAGGTACTTCCACGGTGTGGATCGCTGAATTTTTTCTGGAGCGACAACAAGGCCTTTGCTGGCTAAAACAGTAGTCAGCTGCATCAAGGAATCATCACAGAACGCTTCCTGTTGACAGCAAAAGGATGTCGTCCATATAATGATGAATGATCATGTTCGGCCACTGTTTTCTGAGTGAGGCCAAGGCCCAAGCCACATAAAGTTGACACAGCGTGGGTGAGTTTCTCATGCCTTGTGTCAGGACAACCCACTCATATCGTTCTGAAGGCTCTGCTTTGTTGGTAACCGGTACTGAAAAGGCAAATCGCTGAGTGTCTTGCGGATGCAAAGAAATAGTGAAAAAACAGTCTTTTAAGTCAACAATGATTATGTGCCAACCCGATGGTAGCATAGCAGGTGATGGCATTCCAGGCTGTATGGCTCCCATGGGTTGCATTTGTTTGTTGATTTTACACAGGTCGTGTAAAAGACGCCATTTACCACTCTTTTTTGGAATGATGAATATGGAGGTGTTCCACGGACTAACTGAAGGTTTGACGTGCCCTGCATCGAATTGCTCTGCTACTAATTGTCCTGTTATTTGCAGTCGCTCTTCTGTCATGGGCCACTGGTCAACCCACATGGGTTCATTGGAAAGCCAGGTTAATGGTGGGTTGGGCGACTGCTCGCCAGTGCCCATGACTAAAAAGGAGTAGCAGTTAGCACAGCTCCAATTTGACTTAAAACATCGTGCCCAATCAGGGCTATAAGGGTTCCAGGTAGTTGCATAATATAGACCCTCAAATTAACTTCTTGCCCTTCGGGAAAAGTCATTTGCACAGGGTGTTTGCTCATCATGGTGGTAGAGTGTCCCCCTACACCTGTGATAGCTGTTGCGGGAGCACTTACTGGCCACTCTTCCGGCCAGACAATAGTACTTACAATCGAGACATCAGCTCCAGTGTCTAGCATTGCGTAGATTTGTACTGACTCGTTTCTCTGACTCATTATGACGTGCATGGTGGGCCGGTGGTCCATCTTTGTAGTGAAACATACAGCAGGACCAGTGGAATCGAGGCTCTGATCCCCACGGAGAGTTTTCGCTGAAGAATGATTGAGTGAATTACTTGTCCCTACAATTTGTGCTATGCGGCTGCCTTTTGGGACAAACAAAGAAGGACAAAGGGTATGGGCCATGACATGAATTTGCCCCGCATAGTCGGTGTTGATGACTCTAGGAATGACAAGTAGTCCTTTGACGCCTGCTGATGAACATCCCACTAAAAGTCCTTCTATTTTGCTGTTTTGATTAATCAATGGCCTAGCCGCGCTGCTAGGAATTTCATGCACGGTGGTGTCGTTAAGAATGACGTCTATTGTGGTTTCCAAGTCGATTCCCTATCTGCCTCTGGTTGCGGCGTGAGGCTGTTGGAAAAAACTCTTGTTCTGTCTGAAGGATTCACTTCTTTCTGCACGCGGCCTCTCTCCGCGCTCCTCCTCCCGTTTCCCGAGCATGCTTTTGTGGCGTGGGTAGTGTTTTGGGATTTTTCACACCAGACGGTGCTACGGCAGTTACGCTGGGTGTGCCCCACCTCTCCACATCGATAGCAGCTACCGTGGTATGGCCATCTCATCTGCGGAGCGCTGGGTCGTTGCTGGACAACTTCTCTAACTGCACCTCGCACGGCAGCAGCAACTGTCGCTTGTTGGGTCTGTGCACCAGCTCTCTCTCTGAAGCACATGGGAGGGGTAGGTTAACTGCCTTTTCAAGCTAGTGTAGGCGCCATGTACGATGAGTATATCTGGTGTTACTCCATGATAAGGATCCTGCTGGTTCTGAGGTTGCATTGCTTCATCTATTGCCCGTTGCTGCCACCCCGACCCCCACAATAAGAACTGAGTAGGGGTTAGCAACAATAGCATTAAATTCTGACAGTCATACGGGCACATCAAGTCAGCAGAAAAAATCCAAGTAACAATC